GAACTAGGGTTTTCCACTGCTGAGGACTTTACCTTCATCTGCTCCCTAAAAAGGTGGTCATACTAACTTTCTTTATGGGGGAAAAGTATCATAAAGCAGCCTTGATCACATTTTCAGGGATAGCCTTAGTTAGTATATGCCTTGATTTGTGTAGGCTAATTGGCTAGTTGCACAAAATCGTTCAGCTTCCGGTATAAACAGTGTGTGCACAACATTCACTGGTGTCTCAGTTAGTACTACACAATGATCTTCTATGAGAATTTCTTGCAGGATCCACCACAGTTCGTGATCAGCTGTGTACATCTGACAATAATGTGTCATTCAAAGTTGCTGCTCTTAAACAGTATTTTAATCTGATGTACACAAGAGGGTTGCACGGAGAAGGGAATGCTTTGCAACAAGCGACTTCAAAACATTAACTAAAACCCGTGACGAAGCAAAACTCCACAGGTCAGTAGAGCGTGATGTGCCCTTACCAACAAGCCCTGGATTGCATTACTGGCCTTCAGAGACACAGAACCTGGAATCTTGCAAATTCATATCTGACTTAGGCGCACCCTAGGCGGCCTTGCCGAGATGCTCACCCATGGCCAAGGTCCTGAGAGCCGGAGAAATTTCTAGCATAATTTGCCGAAAATTAGAGTAACCAACTTCAAACACCACAGGATTACAGGGTGTTATGCCCCCTCTCCAACAAAACATGAGTTTTTATTGTAGTCTTTGGGAATCTGGAGATGATAAAGTTCAACAGCACCAGGCTCCTCAATAGTTGTCTACTCCGAAGTAATAATCACGTGATTAGCCACGAGTCAACATCAAGCTTTAAGCGTCATCACCGAGCAGTAAAGCTGACAAATCAATCAGTCGACTAGTGTTTTAGAAGTGCTAAACTTAGAAGTTAAACTGTGTATATGCTGCTCCTAATTACCTCATGTATCAGGTATAAAAGACACAGGAGGGTTTGCAAGCATTACTCTGTACTGGCTGTGTTTCGGGGATATGCTGCATGTTGAGGATACGTCAGCAGACAGATTTCCTTCATTGATAGATCTTTGGTGATTTGCTGTGAATGTGGGTTTTTCCTGAATGCGTGGAGTCCTGTGGAAAGATCCATTAAACTTCCTTTCGTTTTTTTTAGCCTTTTGGGTTGCAAGGATATGCTGCACATCCACCCCACCAACCCCCTCACTGGGCCTGTCAGGCTTTCTGAACACAACTTTTAGTCTCTTAAGCACCCCCTAGTGCCAGAGAGCTTTCCCCCTTTTTCCCCTTATGGGCAGCCCAGCACCTCAGTGCTTATTAGGATGTCTAAATGTATATTTATCATTGATTGTTATCTTTGTTAGATTCTGCAAAATCTTGTGTAGAAAGTCATTGTATAGTACCAACTGAGACACAGGCAGATGTTCTTATGCACACACTGATTATACCAGAATTTAAACTGCACCATTCTGTGAAACCAGCCAATGTAAACAAATGTTGGAATTTGTCAAATGGATGTTTTGTTTGAATTTGTTTGTTTGACATCATTATTATTTTAATTTGTCTAAGGGCCAACAGCAGATTTCTTTACAAGATATGTCACAACGCAGCCCATAAGTGGGTTAATTTGAGGGTTAGTTGTAACAATTGTGAGAAAATATTATTCTAATATAATTTATATAGGGGAATATGGAGGTTTCTTATTGTTTACTAAGAGCAGTTTATTTGTAATACTATTTTAAAACTCATCCCACCGTGTGAAGGCTGTCATTGAGAGCTGGCTCATATGCTTTAAAACGATGCCAAGTTGCAGGTACCAAGTGGATGACACATAACATATAGGTGTGAATTCTGTGACTTACACACACAATTAAGTAATCAGAAACACTTATGATGCTTTGGTACAAAAACAGTCTTCAAGGTGGATGTTGAGAAATATGTGTCTGCTGTAAAGATTCACACATCATGTTGCTATAGGAAAACAAGAAGCACATTCAGCACATTTAACCTGAACCTGTTTAAAATCAGTGTTTTATTTTATCCCACATCAAGTTGTGTCCTGCACTCCCCTGCAATATGACTTAAAACTCTAGACCCCAAGAGATAAGCACTCTGTACATGTAATGCTCTTGCCCTTGACAATGTGCCACTTCGGTCTAGTCCCAAAACGTGAGGCAATGTGGAGAAGCTGGGCAGGTTAATTCACTTTCGACAACATCAGTCCATAGAGACTTTCTCCTACTTACACTAGCATGTACTGGAATGAAACAGCCTTCATGCCATGTCAACTATGGTCTGCATCCTTTGAAAAGATGGAAAACTAAAAATACGTTTCTATGTCTTGATACAGTTACTGGAAATTGCTGACTGCATTTGATTGACATTCCCAACTTACAGTAACTACTCTGATGTCACATTTTAAGTGTTCTTCTCCCTTTCCCCAACATCGTTTGTCGATATGGTAATTCACTCTTGATCTGAATGTGGTGTCAGCTCTCTATAATCGTAATGCAAAGTTCTTAAAGGGTAAAGGGAGCAAATCCTACATTTTATCTGTATTTTGGTTGCCCTTAAGTCCAGTTATGATGTTTGTGTGGATTTATGTACCAAAAACATCAAAAACTTTTAAACAGTCTTCAGTTATTTGTACATGACCATTTTCCAGCCTCTCTTTAGCTCTCTTTTATTTAAACAGGCTGTGTTTTGCTAATATGTCTATAAAACTAGTTAATGTAAATGACCTCTATTCTGATTGGCTGCTCTGTATTGTACAGCATTTAAAAAGCAGCTCAGGCTGAAGTACGTTACCACTTTAGTATGAATGACTGGGCTAAATTGCAGGAGGCTGAATAGGCACATATATCTAGATGCTGGTTATATGTTGGTTTTGGCCCATTAAGGTGGCATAATGGATAGTGGATATTCACAGGCTGAGAGTGGATGCAGAGAGGCTACTGGGAGAATCTGAGAAGGCTGAGTGAAGAAATGTAATCGTAGCAGGGGGCTTTCAGGGAAAGAAGTTAGAGAAACAACCGAGTTTGCTGCTGTAGAAGACTTATGTTCTGAGAAATCAATGATTTTTGAAAAGGAAAATGAGGGGGTTAGAGCAGAGCTTTCCTTCCCTGAGACATGCTACCCTGCAGAGTTTAGTCCTAACATAAATCTGACACAACACATCCAGCTAATCAAGATCTTCAAGAGTGACTAAATATTGGAGCCAGGTGTCAAAGAACTCGAGCTGGAGATAAAATCTCCATGAAAGGGATAGGGATATTTACATAAAGGAGTCACACACGCCACATCTTACTATTTTCAGAAGACCCTACTCAGATATGTCATAATTTGATATATAAATGCTTACAGAATTAGGATATATTTATGAATTTGGCCATCTTTTGATCAAACATTTATGACTGCAGATATCTATTTAGAACTTTGTATGGTAAAAATACATCAATGCAAGTGCTAAAACTCCTCGAACCAACAAGGCAGACCTCGAAATGTTTTCCTCAATGACAAGATGAGTACTTTTTGAAATGCCCTTCCTTTTACAGACAGGTGTTTACATACAAAGACTTTTGCCAATCCAATTGAATACATTCTGATTATAGATTAAGACTCAGGTGTTTATATGCTCACTCTACACAACAATCTGATGGAAAATCTCCATTTACATGCAAACTACGAGTAATCCGTTCCAAAATTATGCATATGCGCAGAGTACCACTTAGTGTAGAAGTTACCATGACAACGAGCATCACGTGAGTCTATTCAGAGTGAGACAAGCAGCAGTAAGCAGTGCTTATGTTTTTAATTACTTTAAAATTATGTCAGACTCAGGAAAATGTACTTCACATGTGCTTATTAAAGAAGGCTGAGAGGAAGACGTCACGTTCTGAGACACATAAGCTGGACACCCAAGTTGAAAGCATAAACCTCGTCTCCTCTGCAGACCAGTTTCTGCTCCCGCCATGTTGAACGTTATAGACCTTCTCTATGATGCAAACGTACATGCTCAAAACGTACTTTAACTTTCCGATTGGGAATGTAGTCGGATACAGATGTTTACATGGTTATTATTCTTCTATTTAATGGATTATTTACAGGATTACCCACCTTGTTTAAATGGATAGAAATTGTATTCCGAATGGCCTCAATCAGACTAGCCTATTCCGACTGAGGTGTTTACATGGAATTATTGTATACCGATTGAGCCATTTTTATTAGGCTGCATGTAAATGTGGCTATTGATATGAATATTTGCTATCAGCTGTTTATAATACTTGAAGTCCAAGGAAATTGAAATAGAAAAGCTTTGTGCTATTTACTTTTTTAGTTTACATATTATTATTTCCTATCAGTTATAAGGGTTCATAGCTCCCTGGCAGCTCTGTAACCTGAGACTCAAACTCACCAAAGGATAAAATGGAATCAAATTATTTTTTAGAATCCCTGGAAATAAATATTTGTAGTGAAAAAAAGATGCTGTGTAAAAAGAGTATTTTTTGAAAGCTTTGCTCAATCATCATCTGGGTCAACAGCTTGATTCGCTCAGAGACACAAGGACAGTGCCAATGGACCAAAACACACGGAGTATGTGATGTTCATGGAGAAAAAATTTCAGGACAAGGAGTAGATTTTGGTTCTTTTCCCAAACTGTATATCTGACTGATGCTTCACCACAGCTATGGTTAGAGAGGACAATGCCTGAAGATTGTTATGATATGTTTACCATGTCTGTAAGCTGTAAATCGCTCGTGGGTTATGAAGCCTACAGTACAGACATGCAAATAGCCATTTTATTGAGTAACCTCTATGAATTATTTAGTAACTACTGTGAAACTGAAATGCAAGTTAGGTGGTTATGAGAGTGAGGAGAGGAAGTGTGGGCCCAAACAAGGACCCTTTTACAAGGTTTAAGGGGTTAAATCAACACTACAGCACAAACATTTCTTCCTATGTCCTGAAGTCTGGCACATGCATTGTCTGTGGGATGACTGTGGTGACTGAGCACACACCTCTATCTGCAGCAAAGCCTCTTCTCTCTTGCGCAGAACCTCCACATCCTCCTCACTGATCTCCGACAGGAACGCCTGCTGTCCTTCACCCTCCACGTTCTCCGCTGCTCCAAACAGCGCGCCTTCCTCACACAGCTCAGTGAACGGCGTCTGTGGGCTCTAAACGTGTAAACACATACACAAAAATACAATTCAACACAGAAACAAACAATGCGTTAGCTTTAAAAGCACTGTGGATGAAGCTCCAGCTGTTCACAGACTTTCAACCATGAATCATCACACCAAGCACTGCATGAGATCAGTGACTTTGCAAAAATGTTTAGATACAAAAAAAAAAACTAGGAAACCACTGGCATGGGCTTATAAAGAAACATAATGACTTCCTGCCTCCAATAAAAGTGCATTTATATTATATTTTCCCAAATAGGTTTCTTTAGTTAGACTTTGTTTGGCAGAACTTAGAAGCAGACTGAAGATCCAATATGTGGGAGTTGGTCACTCAGAGAGCAGCACATTGATCTGCTAATTTTTTTCCCTAATTGCATATGTATGACATAGAAAGCCTGGGGCGTGTTATTGTTTTTCGCTATTCACTGTGTGACTCATTGTATTCCATTTTTTTCTCTCCATCTCTGAATTAGCACAGCTAATAGGCTCCAGCTCTCTACAGCACAATGACACTGAAGAGCTCTATCTCCTCAGGGCTCCTCAAAGTTCTGCCCACTCCTTAAAGATGCTGTCTGTTCATAGTGCAGCACTCAATCTTTACATATTTACCATACTGTGATAGCAGCCTATCTAAAGACTGACATGGGCTACTCTCTATGATCCATCCACCCACCAGCACTCCTTACTTACTGCTTAGAGTGGCTGCATGCATATAATATCCTCTTTAAAAAAGAAGTCCTGGAAACCATTGTCAGCAAAAACTGTTATGATTAGGGCTGTCCTTCAATTAATCATGTAAAAAGGCAATGATTAGCTGGTAATTTAGGTTTTCCAATACAGTATTCTGAAATCTTTGAAAGGCTGTGCATGATCTGATATTTAAGCAAAGGAACACAGCAGGGGACTGGTCATTCTTGAATGACATCATGGCTGGGGTTCGGTCATAGACCCCGTACAACATCGCAGCCTGATGTTATCTGCGATTACACTTTGAGTGTTCTTTTGCTTTTATATACCAGTTCTGCAAAACAAAGAAAAAATAAAGCAAAGAAGCCCTGAATATTGTATCATTTGAGTTTTAAAACTGGCAAATTTGCGTTACAGGTGGAGCCATAAAACTGTCGTAATACAAGGTTCAGCTCAGCTTTTTCAATATTCGGCAGATTAAACTGAATGTCATTTAGTTCCAACCAGCCTGTAAAGCAAATCACAGCCCATCTTGTATTCTGTTTGTTTCTTGTTAAATCCAGTTTGTTGGTCTGGCATCAAAGCTGCTAATCGGAAAGCTTTTTAGGGGCAACAACAGCTTCCGAAATTGAGGTGTCCTGCTGTCAAACTCTTCTTCAGAATCTGATCGAACAGGTTGCAGGTCAAATATTTTATTGAAGCCATCTAACTTCTTCCTCTGTTTTAGTCTGTGCTAAACATGAGTAAAACATAGGAATGGTTAGCTATTATCACTAGTGAGAGAACTCTTCTCAACTAACTCAGATTGTGGCCTCGAAATTAACTGTTGTATAATGTTTAAGTTCACTTAAAAAGAAAAACTCTGATTATTCAATTGATACTCTTTTGCTAAATAAAAGCTAAAACACTTCTCAATCAATCACAACCTTCTCTCCACGCTACTTCATCAAGAGAACACAGAACAAACCCTCAGTGAGAATGGTGGTGGCAGTAAATCAGAATTATTAGGCTAAGGAATGGTGACAAGGTTTACTGAGGTTGCTTCATTTGCTAACACTCCATCCATCCATCATCTAAACCGCTTATCCTTCTGGGTCACGGTGGGGTGCTGGAGCCTATCCCAGCTGTCATTGGGCGGAAGGCAGGATACACCCTGGACAGGTCGCCAGTCCATCGCAGGGCAGACAGACAGACATACACATTCACACACACACACCTAGGGGCAATTTAGCACGTCCAATCAGCCTGACTGCATGTTTTTTAGGACTGTGGGAGAAAACCGGAGTACCCGGAGGAAACCCACGCAGACACGGGGAGAACATGCAAACTCCACACAGAAATGACCCTGGTCACCCGGCCGGGAATCGAACCCAGGCCCTTCTTGCTGTGAGGCTTTTTATATATTGTCTAATGACAAATAACGTTACAGAATGGTGTTCAAATGAGTTTTCTTAGCTGTACTGTTAGCTTTAGCGTTAACTCTAGTGTTCGATCATCTGAGAACTTACACATGAAAACCTACTGGTTTATGATCCACGTGGCTGAAAGGTTTTCTTGGTGTATTTAATGTAAACATGGTTTCCAGAATCATTGTTTGGAATATTTTGTCAGTTCTCAAACTAAGCTGATCATTTTGTAAAGCCTGTTTATTTTTCAATCATAATTTTTTTCTCTTTTGGTATGGAAAGGAATTTGTGCCAAATTGAAAAGCAATCACTACGGTGAAAAAACATGAAATGGTACACACAAATGCCATTTACTTTTTCATAGTGACAGAATATGTGTCAAAATGAAAAGGACCCCTCTGTTACTCAATTAGTCCATAATTTGAATGCTGGTTTAAAAACACTCCATTACTAATATAATCATTGGTGACGGCCCCAATTATGATTATTGTTAAAACTATTTTAATCATTATGTGTGACTGATGAGGTGGTTTACACTACCTATATGATGTATAAAAATATCCACTGCTACCACTGATGCATTCTGTTCTGACATTATTGCTTCTCTACTGAGCAGCTGAGCAGTAAACACATCTTCTTTTAACCACATGAATCTCTAAATATTACCTAAAGGAATGGAACAAACAGAAATATTAAACACTATTAGAAACCATTAACAGCCGTAACTAGATTACCACCCAATCAAAAGTAGCCTTCAAACTATTAAGTAGCATTTTAGACCTAACCAGCCGATTACTTTCACTTAGCCAGCTCTATCACTGCTGATAGCCCATTAGGATTTTCTTAATTCTTATCAAGACCTCAGGGATGCAGTCCACAGTTCCTGAAAAGACTGACTCACTTTCATACAAACTCACTTTAATGTTTATTTATGGGTATTCAAGACTGAATCAAACTTCCATTACAGCATTATAACATTATTATATGACTGCTTCACTATCATGTGCTTTCAGTTTGGCATCTCAACCCATTAATGTCCATGTCCTTTGTTCCATATTGTTGTCTGAGCTTGAGAGATTTTTCAAATTGATCAAACCATATAGCTAAACAGTGACTTTTCTATCACTTAATTTAACATATTAACTTTTAAGTCTTTTGGTCACTTATGACGACTGATTTTGAACAAAACAATTATTTTTATTTATTATTAAGTGCCATCAATTCATTTCGGACTCCTGATGATCATATGGATAGTGTTTCTCCACAATGTCCTGTCTTCTGTTGGGGTCTTTAGGCTTCTGAAAGGCTGGTTCATGACTCTTTCAAGCAAAATTGTCTTTTCCAATGAATTCATTCTTCTCAGAATATGTTCAAAATAAGATTCAAACTTCAGTTTGGCTATCTGGGCTTCGAATAAGAGGTGAGGCTTGATTTGGTTGAGGATCCATTTATAGTTTTCTCATGCCACCCAAGAAACTCTCAAAAGTCTTTACCAACACCAGTTCAAAGGCAACTATATTTTTCCTGTCTCGCTTGTTTATTGTCCAGCTTTCAGATCCTAAAGAACCACAGAGAAGACCACAGACTGGACTTCTGATCTTCGTTCATCACTGTATTTGAAGATCTTTTCAAGCTCCATCATCTTTGTTCTGCAAAGCGCCAATTTGTGTCGCATTTCTTGAGTGCTGGATCCTCTGTTGTTAATAATTGATCTGAGTAGGCCAAAGCTGTCTGCCATTTCCACATCTTCTCCACAAAAGGTGAAGTTAGAGGTCTTTCCTGTTGTCATTAACTTCATCTTCTTCATATTGAGCTGAAGTCCCATCTTTACACTCTGTTCTTTAATCTTCCTTAAAAGGGCCTTCAGGTCCACTATGAGTGTTGTGTTTCCTGCATATTGATGTTTTTGATGTTATTGATGTTTCTTCCACCAATCTTGAATTCTCGATCGTCTTTCCCCAGTTCTGCTTCTTCTTTTACATGTTCTGCACACAGGTGGAAAAGTATGCTGATAGCATGTAGCCCAGTCTAACTTTTTTTTATGTGGAACCATTCCATTTGTCCATTTTCTGTCCTGACCTTCGCTTGCTCATCAGTGTTGAGGTTCCTCATTAGAACGATGAGATGCTCTGGTATTCTCATCTTTCTGAAGACATTCCATAATTTTACATGGTTGACACAGTCAAAGGCTTCACTGTAGTCACTGAAACACGTGCTGACTTCCTTCCTGAACACCTTGGAACACCTTGGCATCCACAATTGTATCTGTTGTTGCTCTGCCTTTCTTGAGTTGCTTGAACATCCGGCAGTTCTCTCTCAATGTAAGGTTCTTATTTTTGTTGAACGATCTTAAGCATAATTTTACTAGCTTGCGATATCAGGGAAATCGTCTGATAGTTTGCACACTTTTTTTGTTTGTGAATAAAAGTAAAATTAAATGTAATCAAAAATGTTCAAATTGGTACTGTTAGATGTAGAACAGGAGCCGTACTAACATCCTATCTACATTAGAAGTTGTGCTTTGACTTATGAGGCTTTTTTTTAAACAGCGTTTTAAATGCACCAGACACTGCAGATATGATCTCCACCATGCCCTCTTATTACCTTTGTGTGTTAATGTTGATGAAAACTCATCAGATAAAATATTACAGTGGTGAATACTGAGGAGACAGAGCTGAAGAAGAATAATGCTAGCACGGTCGGCTAAAGCGCTCAGGAAATTGAAACTGAAACTGAAGAACAGCAACGCTCTGAAAAACTGTGTGAAGCACTGTCATAACTTCAGTAACTTTTAGAATATTTATAACTTCAAGTTTATGGCACTTTAGTTTTGTTTGAGCTTTTTTGCATCAGTAACGGTAGCTAGCTGTCTGGCTAACTAACGATTATTTTGATTAC